TATATATATATATATATATATATATATATATATGTATACATACATTATGTTTATTGCCAGTTAATAATAAAAGTAAAAAAGAGAAAGAAAATGAAGAACCGAATGTATTTTTTCTTGATTTTTTATATTTGAACAAGGAGAGAAAAAATATTGAGGCTAATTAATCATGTAACAAGTGTTTTCCAATGTCGCAATAAAAAGGTACATACGTTCCGTACAACATTCGCGATTATGAAGAAGCATCGCTTCGGTTAAGGATTTCTTTCTTTTTTTTTTTGAAAAAAAAAAAAAAAAAAAAAAAAAAACTGATATTTGTTTGCACAGCAGGTGAACTACGTAACGTTTTGAATATTCCGACCGATCGACCGACCGATCGACCAACTAATCGACCGACCAACGGACCAACCAACCGACTAACCGACCAACCGATCAACCGACCGACCGACCTCCGAAGAATTTCCAATTCTTTTTTCCATAGAGAAGAAACCTAGGTGACAATGGAATCGCGTTATTCACCAGAAAACACGTTCGACGATGTTACCTTTCGAATTCGAACAGGTATTCGAGAGGATAGGAAGCTTTATCATGATAATTAAGTATCGTCTTGGCCCTTATTTTTTTTTTCTCTCTCTCTCTCTCTCTCTCTCTCTATTTCGCTCTTCTTTTTTCGACAAAAACCGAGAAATGATAATTAAGCATCTTCTCGGATGGCCAGTTTTCTACTTTTATTTTTTTTTTTTCTATTTCTTTTCTTTTTCTTCTTTTTCGAAAAATATCTTTCCTTTTGATAGAAATTCAAGTGAAAAATTCGTGCAGTATCGTTCGGCAATCGTTCGCGTGGCAACGACGAACTGGAACGAAAGAAAATATGTTAATATTGTTGGAATAATGTATAGTACGGCTGAAGTACGGATCCGTGCATCCGAATTTTTGGTCGATGGCCTTAATGTGTCTTTCTATATATCTACTTGGGTAATATTTACACAGTCGTTTAAGTAGAGAGTAAATTATTGGTATAACGATTGAAAACGTTAAGTGGAATGTAAATTTTGTAAATAAATCGATTATCTACAAAAGAATAAATGTTATATCGATTAGAAAGAACAATTTGTTGTAAAAATTTTTATTTATTAATGTTTTTCTTTTTCGTTTGTATGTGTACGACGAGAGTGGATTACGAAATTTTTTTTTGAAATTATAAATAGAAGAAAAATTGTATCTATCTCGGCATCATTAAGTTTCGTATTAGAAATTTTTTGATAAGACAGATTTGTATAAATTTTGTAAAAATGAAAAAGAAATGATGCTATTAAAAATTAGATTGATTTTTAATTTTTGTCAAATTAAAAATAAAGATTTTGACGATCTCAATATTACTAATTTTTTAATAACAAATCTTTTGGAATAACAGATTCGTAATTTTCATCAAATAAAATAAAAAACGAAAAAACAAACAAAATCGTGTCGAACTCAACATCATTGTATTATTAATTACGAATCTTTTGGAACATCAAATTCGTGGCTTTTGGAAAATTAAAAACAAAAAAGGAAATAAGAACGAAGTACAGATGAAATTTTTACGTAATTAAAGTTTCAAATAACACAATTTTTTATTTTTCCAGTAAAATTTAGAAAAACAAAAAGTTTTCACGAATTATATTTTGTCGCTAAATTTACAATCGCAAATTTACAATTTTTGTCAAATATAAAAGCAAAACGAAAAAAGAACAAAAACAAAAGAGAACTTAATAAAAGCAAAAAAAAAACAAAAACGTTCGATGAAAGGAATTGCGTCGAACTTGATAGAAAAAAAATTTTAACATAACTACACGCATAAATTTGATGATTTTCGATATTTCATTCAACTACTTATATATATCTTATACCTGTGCATCTAAATTAACAAAAAAGAAAAAAAAAGTAAAAGAAAAAGGAAAAAGAAAGAAGAAAAAAGAAAAAGAAAAAGAAAAAAGAAGGTAAAATTTGTAGACCTTTCTCACAAATCCATGGTCTCCCAAAAATGACTTCGTCGCCTCGCTCGTGAATCGTGAAAGGATCGCACGATCGAGATTTATCGGTTTAAAAAAATCCACCTCATCTCCTACGATCCTCCCCATCGACCTTCTTCCACTACACGCGTGACACAAGAAACAGTAAGTTTTCACGGATGGTCGCACACATTTACGTACATACATACATACATACATATATGCATATATGCATATATATATCATATATTTATATATATATATATATATATATATATATATATATATATATATATATATGATACGATTTCGGAATGGCAATAAAAATCAAAAAAAGGGAAAAAGAAAAGAAAGAAAAGAAAAAAAAAAGAAAGAATTAGGGAGGAGGAAGAGAGGGGAAGGAGGAGAAGAAGGAGGAGAAGCATAGCAAGAACTCGTTTGACACTTTTCCAGGCACTCCAACGAAAAATTATATTCATCATACTAGCGTGGGCGTATATGTATCCCTTTCGAATGGAATCGAAAAAAGATATATATATATATATACACAACAAAAAAAGAGAGAGAGAAGGTGTATCTACCTAGCGTCGAAAGTTAGGCAGAAGGAATACTGTAGTGAATATGGTGTCGGACGAAGGGAATGGAGAGAGTGATGGGGTCGGGGAGGGAGGAGGAAAGAGGGATGGGATAGAGGAGTAGGCCTATAGCAGTGATAAAAGGCGTTAGTCCATTCCAGAATGATTTATGTGTCGGCGAGGCCGAAATACAAACAGGTGCTCGAACCCCCTCGAGAACCCAAACTCATCGAAAATAAAAAATAAAAAAGTGAAGATGGAAAAGTTGAATACATCGATAGTTACATAAATATGTATGCGAGTACGTACGTAGGTGTAAGTAATAGCTATATCACAGTTTTTTTTTTATTTATTTTATTTTTTTTTTTTTTAAATAAGAAAAAGATGATAAAAATTGGATATCGAGAAACGGGAGAGAAAGTTTGGAAGAGCGGATTCTATCGAACGGTTTAGATAATCGTCAGATAGAATTTCTTTCTTTACTAGTTTGAGAGAGGGGGTTGATATAAGTAATTATTCTTAGAACGCTGACAAGAAGGAAGATATTTTGTGAATATGTTATAGATATGAGTATATATACATATATTATGTATATGTGTATATATATATATTTTTTTTTTGTACTATTACATTATTATTATATAGATACACTTATCACAAATTGATTGATAAATTCAATATCTTCCAAAATTGTTTCTCAAGATTACGTATATTGTTATTCATGATTAGGTAAATAAACTGACCCAAATAATATATATATATATTCGGGGGACCGGAAAGTAATGTCGCTTTCTTAAATTAAATTCAAACGAATAAATTTTTAACAAGTTTTTATTTTTAATCACAATCAAATATCAACATGCGCAGAAATGACATTACTTTACGGTCCATTTAATATATATATATAGACTTTTTTGTTATATATTATTATAAATAGATAAATATATTATTATAAAGTAGATAAATCTAATAAAAAATGATTATCAAATTTATAGATAAATTAACAAATATATATTTTAATTGTTCCAAAAATTGTCTCCTACAATCAGGTTAGTTTCATAATTAGCGTAATATACATATACTGATCTTAATCAAATATATATATATATATTCTGGCATATCCTTTTTTTATTAATATTTCATTATTATAACAATAAATTAACCTAATAAAAAATGATTAATAAAATTTATTATTTCAAAAATTTGTCTCTCACAATTAGGCTAGTTTTATAATTTCTGTCACTTAAGTACTGATCTAAATTAAATATATTTGTATATTATTTTTAATATTATTACATTACGTTTAAAACCACTGTATTATTATCAAACAAATCAAGCTAACATTAACTAAAACATTAATTATAATTTATATCAGTTTAATCATTACTCTAATCATGTATATATATATATATATATCTAACCCTTCTGCCTCTATAAAAACAAAAATCACATGGTTTGTTAAAAAAAAGCCAACCCTACTTTTCTCTTTCTATTTGCCAAGAGATACGGTCTTTTAACAATCTAAAATTCTGTTTAGATTCTCTCGAATCCCCGTCCCTCTTCTTTCTCTTCCTCTTCCTTTCCTTCTCCTTCTCCTCTTCTTCCTTCTCCAGATATCTTTCGATATCTTATGCCGCACGATAGATGCACAAAGAAAGTAAGTTTACTCGTGTAAGAGAAAGATGTAGTGAACACACAAGCCCACACATACACGGAAAACGTGAAGTTCCTGCTGAATCACCGCTGAAATTCCATCAGAGTTTGCGATTCTTAGAGTTGAGAAAAATTCTGACAACAGTGTAGAAGAAGGAAAGCACGGGAGTAGGAAAGAGTAATAAAAAAAAAAAAAAAAAAAAAAAGAAAAGAAAGAGAAAAGGGAAAAAGAAGAAGAAAAAAATAATCAAAAAAAGAAAAAAAGAAAAAGGAAATAAAAGAAAAGAGAACTCGGAATCAATGGGAGGGGGTGGTAGTGAGGAGGGAGATATAGGTTGTGAAGAGTTCATAAATGGGGGGATGAGATTTTGCACAGCACATGCGCTCAACTCACGCTAGCACATTACCCAACCAGAGTTAGGTTTCGTTTAATAGCAGGAATGAAAGAACATGGGCGTGTTCATGATAGGCGGAGTCCAGTTGTACCAACCTCTTCAATATTCTACCAAGAGTGGGACAGAGAAAGCGAGAGAAAGGGAAAGAGAAAGAGAGAGAGAGAAAGAGAGACAGAGAGAAAGAGAGAGAGAGAACCTTCTCCTCTCTAGTAGCTAACAAGTGAGATAGAGGGAGAGAAAGAGAGAGAGAGAGAGAGACAGACAAACAGTTATACGTATGCTGAGTTTCTGTAGTATGAGTGTTACTTCTCTTTGGAGAATGTTAGTGTATAGGAATAGTGGCGCGAGTGGTAGGGGCATGATCGAGGATGCCAGTCTTCTCCGGGACACGGATCCGGATAGGATACTTACTGATCTTTCGTCTTCCATCGTCATCGAAATTGTGAAAAAAGGAAGAAGAAGAAGAAGGAGAAGAAAGAAAGAAAAAAGTTTCTACGTTCAGTTAATTGTGCGTTAGTTAATTACGATATTTCGATACGATATATATATATATATACATATATATATGTATACATATATATATGTATATGTATATATATATATATATATATTTTTTTTTTTTTTCGATTTTATTCTTTTTTCCTTTTCCCTTTTCCCTTTTATTTCTTTTTTTTTTCTTTTATCTTCTTTTTTCTTTCTTTTTTTTTTGTTTTCATTCGGTGAAACCTTACTTTCAATATCATAAAAAAATAATCTCGTTCCGATTTGACTTGACGTGACTTTGGTTTTATTGTGAATAAGAACTTTTATGAGATAGTGGAAGGATGCAGTTGAAGGTCGAGGATTCGTGACCTCCTTCTGTTTTTTTGTTTTCTCTTAACGACGGGAGAAACAATGAAGGTATGTTTTTCTTTTTTTGAGGGAGGGGATGGGATGAGAAGTGGCCGGAGCAGCGGTGGGTGGGAGAGAATTTTTATCGTGATAACATTGTTTCTGATGATTAAGATTCTACTTTGATAATTATTTATTTATCGTTTCGTTACCGTCGGACGGACATAAAGTTTTTATTTCAATTTTGACTTAAAAAAAATTTTTTAAAAATTTAAATTTGACTTAAATAAAAATTTGCCATCTCGCAAATCGCGCAAATGTACTCGTCAAGTACAAGACAATATTGGTTTAATTTTATTATATTAAATGAATGATGAATCTGTTAAAAATATATTTTCTAATGCAAAAATGACAAAGTAATAATATTACTTGTTAATAAAAAAAATATGGTCATAGTCGTCGATAAATTAGTTGTTCTTTTTTCTTTTTCTGTTTTTTTTTATTTTTTATTTTTTTTAAATAGCAAAATTGTCATATCTACAAACCAAATATTCATCAACACACAAAGGTCAATCATTAATTAATTAAGGAAAATTAATTAAAGCATCGATTTTAAATAGGATTGTTATAATTATTCGAATTTCAAAGAAAGAACAGATTTTTTTTTATCAATTAAAAATTTTATTTGATATTTCCAATAAATTCGTACGAATTTCGATAAATTTTTCTTTGAATATAGGTGATCGAAGAAAAACGAAATTATGAACTTTAGAAATTATGAAGTTATAAGGGAGGAATTCCGAGAGAAAAAAAAGAGAGGGAGAGAGAAAAGGGGAGGGTGGTGGTGGTGATGGTTGTGGTGATGGTGATGGCGGTGAAGGTGCACTTTCGATATTCGGTAGTGAGTAGTTGGTAGGCTGAAGCTCGTTTGACCCTTGCACTCAGGCATTTCTCATTTTGTCAGCTCATCTCCGTCGCCTCGGCCTTAAAAATGACTTCTATTATTCTTTCTCATTACGACTTGATTGCGTTGCCCGAACCACCTACGATGGCAAATAACATGGTAGATATTTTTCGTTGAGAAAAATTTTCGACGAGTTCGAATCTTTTTTCTGTTCTTTTTTCTCTTTACGAAATTTACAAAAACAAAAGGAAGAAGAAGAATTTTTTGTTTTTAACTTTTTTATTTTTTTTTTCTTGAATAACATTTCAAATATTTAAATAATAACATGTTAATCTTGTTTAATAATATTTGTAGGTATCGTAAAATATTTATATAGGTAATATAAATATATAAATATTAATATAGTAAATATTAGTATGTATATTATAAAATATTTTTAATCAAATGATATATATTTTGTTTATAAATATTATATACTTCGAAATTTTTGCATGATCTTTGATTTAGTTATATAATATGTATTAAAAATTTGTGATCCATGTAGGATTTATTGTTTATATATTATTCGTTAGAAATTCGAAATCTTATAAAAACGGTGATCAAGATTTTTCTACAAAATTTTGTCAAAATTTTGTGAGCTTAAAAGACAAAAATTGACGTGTAAAAGTTCGAAAATGAATTAAAAGCGTTGTAATAACTGAATTTTCTCTGATTCACTTTTTTTTTTTTTTTTTTTTTTTTAGTATTTGCAAAATTGACCGATATTTCAAAATGGTATTACAATAGAAACCTAAACCGTCAAATGATTTCGAGTAGTAAAAGTTAATTTTCATCTTTTTAGGAAAGGTTTTCTAAAGAGTAGGTAGGATCTCTTTTAAGTTGGGTCACCATTCCAAAGTGTTGTAAATTATCCCTCGTATTTTACTTGGAAGTCATGAATAGCCTCAACAGTAGACCAATGAATAAAGTTTCGCAAGATTTTCTTGACCCAAAGAGGATTTTCATGTCCTAAGTGTGTCTCCTTTTCTAATCTCGTTTGTATTTAACTCTCGTTATGGTGTGACCAAAAATACTGAAGAATTCATTGTAACCAAATAGAAACCTTTTCTTCTTTAAAATACTAATAATTTGTAATCCTGAAGTCTTAACAGCCAAATAATTGTTGTTAAATAATATTATGGAAAATGATGCATAACAGTAAAATAATTTTATTCGTTTGAAGATTAATGATTTTTACGAAATTTTTTCTAATGCGAATAAATTCTAATTCTTTTGACATTTTCAAATTTATTGTACGGCGGCTATTAAATTAATATGGACCATATTCTTATGAAATAATTTTAAAACATATTTAATAAAATGTTGTCATATATATACACGAAATATCGACGAAATATCAAAATATTATCGAAATTTGAATATTATAAATATATAAATATATAAATATATATATATATATATATATATATATATATATATATATATTATTTTATTAATATGTTCTTTTTTAATTTTATCCTACATTCTTATAGATCATACAATTTTAATATATTTAAACAAGTTGAAATTATAATAGATTTTTTAAGTAGAAAGATTTTCAAATACCGATAATTCCTCGAATTATTTCATCGTTAAATTTTAACGATTTATCACTCAAAATTGTTAATAATATTAAACTTAAATGTTATATCAACGAAGATATAATTATTCGATAAAATCGTCTAACATTAAAGATATGATATTAAACATATTTTCACGGGTATGAAAAATTTTTTTAGAAAAGTTTTGTTGAAAAATTTCGATAAAAGAAATTTAAGACTAAAAAAAGCAACAAAGATGAATATTTTTGAAATTTTAAATAATTATGATACGAAAAGAGACTTATCATAATGTTGTATATGTACGTATATTATATATGGGAGATCCGGTGTTACACAGAGAGAGAGCCGATAGATTTTTCGCGATCGGCGTTGACGTTAATGGTTGCTGATCGAACGAAGGTGTGAAAAAAGAGAGACAGACAGAGATAGAGACAGATAGAAAGAGAAAGAGAACGAAAGAGAGAGAGAGAGAAAGAGAGAGAGAGAGAGAGAGAGAGAGAGAGAGACCGACGGAAATAATCGACGTCGGTGAATCTTTACGCCAACGTATCGAAAAGCCATAGGGCATAAATCACAGGTGGGAAGTTCGACTTTGCCTTCGGCAGATCATAAATCAATGGCCGTCCAGTTATACGTGAAATGATTACCACTCGACGTGGAACGGACAGAACGAACGAGGAAGAAGAAAGATAGAGAGAAATGAAGAAAATAAAAAATAAGATAAAGAGCTGTAGGATCTCTCTCTCTCTCTCTCTCTCTTTCTGTCTATCTGTCTGTCTGTTTCTCTCTCTCTTTCTCTCTCTTTCTTCCTCTCTCTCTTTTTCTCTTTCGAAAATTGCCTGTCTTCGGTGTATCAACATTTTTACTTATACCCTGTATCGAAATTCTTTACTACCCAATATCACATCTATCTTTCTTATACATTTTGTAGATTTATTTTTAAAATCGATCATGCAAAATTCATTGGTTTATCTTACGTAAAATTAACATAGAGAATTTTAATAGTCAATCGAATAAAATTACGTATTAACTGGTAGAAAATAAGCGCTGGAATTTGATTGTCCGAAAGTGACGTGTAAGAAAAGAGAAAAAAAAGAATATAAAAATAAATAAAAAGAAAAAAAAAAAGAAAAAAAACCAGCCATACCTATATATGATAAAATATTCATGTTCATGAGTCGAACATAATATTATGTACGACAACATGAAAATTCAATGGCAATTCATTTCTTCCGATATGAAATTTGTAATATAATTAAAAAGTAACGAGTAACTATGCCCATGTTACATATGGTTCGTGTTAATTTGTAAAAGGACAAAAGAAAAAAAAGAACAGAAAAAAGGAAAAAGTAATATTATCGATGATATTCTATAATAGATACGATCGTGTATGCAAAATAGATCGAACTCGAAGCGAGGAGTTGTGGTAAGGTTGGCCAAACGTTCTAATTAATTCACCGGTCTAAACAGATTAGTCGATTGATCAATCGTAAAGTCATAGAATAACAACTTGGTAAGTTTGCCCACGTGGTAATTAATATTATCGATTCTATGCTCGATTTGTACTCGTTTCTATCAGGCCAAAGTGAATTTTGTAAAAAAGATTCATATCTATCGGATATATATATATACATACATACATTTGATCAGATTGTATTAATCCTGTTATTGATTTACGATTTGATAAATACATTTTTTTTCTTTTTCTCTTTTTTTTCCTTTCTTTTTTTTTCTTTGCATACTCTAAGACATCAATTTGATAAATCATTGTGTACGAAACAAAAACAAAAAAACGAAAAAAAGTAAAAGAAAAAAATTCACTAATTCACTAAAAATTCACTAATCGTTTTATTAAAATATTTATAAATTTTTTGTTCTCGAAATATGAATGAATAATGCATCACTTTTCTTCATTTAATTTTTTGTTTTGTTTAATTATTAATTAATGTTAAGTATTTTGTAAAATAAATGGTTATATATAATTTATTATGTATATTTTCTTCAATATTTGTGATAAAAATATCGATATATAATGCAAACGATCAGTGTAAATAATTAAGTATCACAATTGTGTCTAGATTTTTTTTTTCTTTTTTATAAATACTCCTTTTAAAATTCTGTTATATCTACAAATTTTTTAATAAAAATATCGATAGTTTTTGTATTAATCGATGTAATACTGATCGCTTATATTATATATTAATATTTTATTATAAATAATGATCATTTATTTATTTAAAATATTGATTAGAAATGTTTAAAAATACGAATTCCATAAATAATAACTATAATATATTACGTCACGTATATAATTATTATGAATATGTGGCATATTTTTATACAGTTTAAACATTTAGTATAAACATTTATATATTTCAGAAATATATCGTCGAATTTAAAGAGCATTTTCTACTCATCGTAAAGATTAAAAAAAGGTTATATAAACACGCGTTCGAAAACGTTTTTCTTTCCCTAAAAGTTATAAACGTTTTTCATTTATCAGAGATCTTAAGAAAATTTGAAACTTTTACAACGTTTCATTATGGAAACTGTTGAAAATGATTTCCATCGAAATGATTTCCTGTCGAGTAAATAGTATGGATTGTTAATGACGGATATGTTGTTTGATGTAAATAAAAAATGAATATAACTTTATAAGAAAGCATTTCTGAAGCAATGTTTATATTATTTTTTGTCATCCTTACCTTGAGTAGAATATGCTCTTTAAATTCTATACATTTCTGAAACATTTCTGAAACACATACATATATATTTTTTTTTATATTATTATATAAATATATATTTATATTATCATATATATACATATGTATTTTATCATATTATTATATTATTTTATTAATTTATTATATTATTAAATTTATTATTTTATATATACAAAATAATAATAATAATAATAATAATAATAATAATAATAATAATTTGTTAAATATTAAGTTAATGAAACGTGTCTCACGTATACATTTACCTACAGGATAGATATATATTTCCTAAGGTTAAAATGTTCGTGCGAAGAGTATCCATAAGAAGGTTACCATAGCAAACAACGTAAGAGCGTAGGACGCAGAGCCATTTACGAGGATCTTAGTCACGTAACGAAGCATATCGGTGTAACACGTACCATGGTTTTCTTCTCCTTAGCCAGAAGCGTAAAGTACAAATGGCAAAACTATAGCTAGCTCATCACCAACAACGGATACATTGATACATCCCGTGTTAGAATGAGAGAGGAGACGTCATTTATCAATCCGACGAGAATCTTCGAGACTCCTTGGTTATTTATTATTTTTTTTTTCTTTTTTCTTTTTTTTTATTTTTATCTTACCTATATTAATTAAGATTTGGAGTCCGCAGCAAAGAAAGATTCTCGCGAAAATGCCACTTCTACGACATCAATCGGGAAACTTATGTTCCTCGATACGGATAGAATAGTTTGTATAAAAGAAAGAGAAAGAAGAACAAAAAAAAAAGAGAAAAGAAACAGAAAATGGAGATAAAAGAAAAGAAAAGAACAAAAAATTCTTATTCTTATTCTTAAAACTTTATTCGCTCGGGAATAAAGTGGATAGAGGTTACTACCGGAACGGTTTCTCGCGTTTAACGGACTAGTATCGTGCTCTTTTCAAGTTGGCCAGTTGGCTTTATGAAGAACGTTAACACGATTCCATTTTATTATCTAATCAAACCGACGACATACAGATTTTATGGATCGAATAATAAATCCTGTTGTATATAATCCTCCTCGTTTCTCCATCCATTAATCATATATAAAAGTTCAAGAAAATATTTCAAAAATTTATCAAATATAAAACAAAACAAATTTAAATTAAAACGATTTAAAATTCACTTTATATATGTATATAAATATGTATCATTGATTTCATTTTATTTGATTTTTAGACAGAATTGGAGACGGATAGCGAGTGTTCGAATAGCATGATCTGCTCGACCAACAATAACAGCAACAACAACAACAACAACAACAACAACAACAATAATAATAATAACAACAATAACAACAATATTAACAGTGTTAATAACAACAACAATAACAACAATACTCAGAATCATAACAATAATAACAATAACAACAACAATAACAACAACAACAACAACAATAACAACAATCATGGGCCTGGTAAGAAAGGAAACAATACAAGCACAATGGCAAAGGGTGCTATAGTTGTTGGGGGTGGAATTACTGCTAAAGAAAATGGTCAACAACAGGATGGCATGGAAATGGATTGTGGTGGTTGCGGAGAAAATGTCCGAGAACGAACCGTACTATGTGTTGGGGGTCGTACATGGCATTCGAGATGCCTCAAGTGTTGCGCTTGTGCCAGACCCCTTCATGATCAACATTCCTGTTTTCTTCGGGGGATGAGACTCTATTGTCGACACGATTACGCCCTGTAAGTTAATCTTTCGATTTTATTTCACTCGTCGTTTTGATTTAAAATTTCTTCTCTTTTCTTTCTTCTTTTTTTTCTCTTTTAGATTAGGATAGTTGTTCACATATTGCGGATTTATATGTGACAATTAATGATGATTAATCATGCAGTTATTTCGTTCCACAATGATTCATCATTTCTTTTCTTTTAGACAAGTCGAATAACTATAATAGCCATCGTATTTATTTTTCCTTTTTTATTTTTCGTTTTTTTTTCTTCTTCTTTTTTCTTTCTTTTCTTCTTTGAATCTCCTAAAAACTTTAGCTTCGGCTAGATTAGGATTGCAAGTTATTTCACATATTGCGGATTTATGCAACAATTAACGATGATTAATCATACGATTATTTCGTTCCACAATGATTAATCATACGATTATTTCGTTCCACAATGTTAATTCAATTATACATTTAATAAAGTAACAATTGCATTTAAATACTTTTTACTCACATTGAATAATATCAATCGATTATACACATATTTATATTTTTTTAAATCTGAATCAAATAGAATTCGCTCGTATTAATCTTCACAATTGTTGCACGAAAAAAACCTTATAAATGAAATTTACCATATCCTTTCTCTCTCTCTCTCTCTCTTTCTCTCTCTCTCTCTCTCTTTCTCTCTCTCTCTCTCTCTCTCTCTCTCTCTCTCTCTCTCTCTCTCTCTCTACTTTCTCTTTTTTCTGTTTTATTTTTCTTTTTTTTTTTCTTTCTTTCTCTCGATTTTGATGATATACGATTACATCCGTTTCTCCGTTGCGTTCCATTCATAAGAAGAACGGAATAGCGAACGATATTCGGCCGGTAGTAGGCGATCCAGTAGTAGGATTACGGATTATCGATGGAAGCCAATAATATTCTTTCGTATCGAAGAGAGTACAGTGGCACCCTGCTGATTCGAGGCGGATGCCCAAAGCCGATCTTAAGAAGACGTTTCTCGGCTACCACTACGGGAGCTCATCTCGAAAAGAGAAGGATAGAAGGGGAAAGAAAAAGAGGGAGGTAGTGGACTAGGGGTTGAGAGGAAGGGGGGTGAGATCATTTGTTCGTCTTATGCTACAACGTCGCGACGCCTGTTTGAATTTTTAATATTTTTAACTAGGAACATTCTCTCTCTCTCTCTCTCTCTTAAAGTAACTTTTGGATTGGGTATATTATTTGGTATATTTAATCTAATAATAATAATAATCATAATAATAATAATAATAATAATAATAATAATAATAATAGTAATAATAAAAAAAATAAATATTGTCAATTATGTGTACCTGTTACCGTTAATTGAATATTAATTTTACAAATTTTTTAATCAGTCTATTTTCTTTCTAAGTAACTTTTGAATTTAATATATTATTCAGTATATTTAATAATAACATCAAATATTTAACAAGCGAAATAGATATTATTGATTAGGTGTATCTGTTGTCATTAATTATATATTAATTTAAAACATTTTTTAGATAGGAATATTCTTTTTTTTCCTCCGAGTAATTTTTAAATTCATGATATTTAATAATAACAATAACAGTAATAATAACAATAACAATAACAATAACAATAATAAGATGAAATATAATATATTTTATGAAATTAACCATTGTCAATTGTATATATGTTACTTTCGTTATTTACTGTATAAAATTTGCTCTTTTGACGATGGATAAAACGAGCGACGATTTTATCCCCTTAAAGTTCTCTTTCCATTGCCCATAAAAAATAATTACTTACACAACTTCAAACTTCCTATATACTCAAAAAATTTCATCTATCTTAATATTTTCATGTTTGATAATCTCATCCTATCGACAAAAACTTACTACGTAATGATCAAACTGGATATCCAACTAGACATTATTTCTGATCCATAAGACGTGATCGAGCATGAAAAGAACAAAAAATAAAATATAAATATAAATAGGAATCCTCTATGATATTTGAAAATCTATGATGTTAGAAGAGGCAGATGAGGGTTAGTTAAAAAAATTTTTATTGGTTGTTTAGCGAAGGAAAGGTCACGTGGCTTGCGGATCTATGAGCGTAGAGATCTACAGATCACATATATGTATATGTTACTGTGGGTTGCGTTCGACGTCTTATACGAACGTAAGAGTCCCTCGCCGTTGGGTGATTAATGTCTTCCGATGGTTCTTCTTCTTCTTCCTCTTCTTCTTTTTCTTTTTCTTCTTCTTCGTCGTCGTCGTCTCCTCCTTCAGACCTCACGTACAGTCGGCTATTCACATCACTGTACACTCATGCTCGTGCACGACCTGCGAAGTCACGTTGACGTAGAAGGTGTCCCGATGCCGGTGAACCCGAAGAAAAAGCCGAACCGTGTCTCAAGACCGAGTTCTATACTCGATCATCGAAAGATTCGCAATCCTAAGGATCTAGAGATTTAACAGGAAGGATCACCTTCGGGGGATGGGGAAGGATTTGGAATTCTTCATTTGGGACGGATACATTCATCTTTGGATATCGCTTATGTTATCGAATGGATCCTATTGTTAACTTTATGTCAAAAACATTTTTAACATATAATTGAGATCGTTCCACAAATATACTTGTTTTTGCAAATACATACGACTTACGTAATTATTAAAGTATAAAATAGTACATATTGTTTATCATGTTGCATAATGTTTACTTCATTGCAATATTTCCAATTTTTCTGAACTTGTAATATTTTAATAACAATTTTAATTCAATCATGAACATAGCCAGGATAAAATCCCAGCAGATAAAATCCCTGTATTACTTATTATCATATGCCGATCAAAAATGTGTTAATAAATAATTGATAAGTGACTACTTGCTCATATAAGTCAATTAATTATTACGTTCAACGAAGAGTGAAAATCAATATTTTCTTTATCTTCAATAAACTAGACGTCGTTGGAGCTAACAAAGGACAAACTAATATGTTTCTGATTAGGATTGATTAAGAGTAATATTTTTATTTAATCGAATTTAATTAGATATAATTTAATTATTTTCCTGTTCAATCATCCTTTCAATCTGAAAATGACTAGAACATATAAACAGTAGTAGAAAGGTTTAATGATAAGGGTTTATAGTCATAGGCCATGTTTCGATATCCAAAAAGGGGGTCAGTTTAGAAGGTAGGAGAACGGGTATAGTATATCCTGGCAGTACGTTTTACATGTACTACGTGGGTGCCGAGTCACGAGTCGAGGCTGCCGAGTGTCAGTGTTCCAAAGGTCTAAGGAATTCGCCTCGTAAGGCCCCGAGGACCGGGGCCTCACTCTCTCCCCCCCCTCTCTCTCTCTCTCTCTCTCTCTCTATCACAAGGACCCCGGCGCTTTTCAAGTCGCAAGAGCCGCCTTTTAAATTAATAAATATTCACTGACACTTTCTCCCATCCTCTCGCGTTATCGAGCGCTCCTTTAACCCTATCGTATGGGCCGACCAAAAAAAAATAAACAAGAGATAGGAGAAAGAAAGAAAGAGAGAGAGAGAAAGAGAGAAAGAGAGAAAAGAAAAAAGGAAAAAGGAAAGAGTAGGCGCGAACAAAAATCGTTCTATTAGCCAGTTCCTTTACCTTCGAATCGAAGCGATCTAACTCGGCTTAATTTACTGTGTCCACTAAAGTCAATAAGAAAGTGAGCTATATTATCGTTAGAAAACTTATGGTTAATTGTTATCAACTTTAATCCTTTTAAGAACAGGTTATCGTAGTTTGAAATAGCCAAAAATCTATACATTTCCAATCGTTAATTTTCTACTGTTATTCTGTTCAAATAATTTTGTACTATTCATTTTTTTTTTAATTTTGAAATCATATACATTATATCTAATCATTTTTCCTTTAATAATTTTTCTTTTAATCCTAAATAATTTTAATTCAATCGTATCTTCTAATCATTTTTGTTCTAATCATTGAAATATAGACGTCAAAAAGATTAAAATAAATGACATTTGATTAAATAAACATTTAAATAAATATATATATATCGATCATTAAATTTCTATTGAAATAACAAGACGTTAATTGTGAACAATATGGAAACAAGATAATCACATTGACATTAAAGGGGATTAACCAATTGGTCGTACTTCCTTTCTGAACGTAGGGAAACTCAGTAGTAAATCGTAAAGAATGCGTTGTGGAACGGCTAATTACTTGGCAAGTCGCACGATCGGCGTGTACTTCGAAGTAGAGGGTAGTCGTGATCTGCATGCAGATTGTAGGTACCAGTCGATAGAGAGAAAGAGAGTGCTGCTGCATGACTGGGGTCGGGACTAGCACCCGACTTAATCCTTCGTTGACTTATAGGGCCCGCCTATGTCGAAGAACAAATGAATAAATTAGGGCGGAGCCGTTTGGTAGCCGACGTACGACCCTGAAGATTTATAGATACTCGATACCAGTTCTCTTTCTCTTTCTCTTTCTTTCTACTGGTGGCTGGTTACACAGGCCCTTATTTTACTCCTTCTTCTTTTCTTTCACGAGTTAAGGATATAAGAAAGAAAGAAACAGAGAGAGAGAGAGAGAGAGACAGAGAGAGAAAAAGAGAAAGAGAAAGAGAGAAAGAAAGATAGATAGATAGATTGATAGATGGAATGATAAAGAGAGAGAGAGAAAGAAAGAGAGAGAGAGAAGGATGGCGCCACTGTTTATGCAAATGGCACCTTACCCAGCCTCTTCGAAGATATTGCGATTTGATTCGACTATGCGGTAGCTGTTGTTTCTCTCTTGACTTATCTCTCTCTTTCTCTCTCTCTCTCTCTCTCTTTCTCTCTTTCTCTTCTTCTATTTCTCTTTTTCTTCTAGGTGTCCGAGGCAGGGCTTCTAGGCGTGCCCTTTACACGATCAACATAACCAATAATACCCCGAAAATATCTTCGATACGACGATGACTATGCACAGGACCGAGACTAATCCCTTCCCTGGCTTACCATATTTTTCCATACAATAACCCTAGACGGTCGATGGTAGACCAACCGATTCTTCTTCTTCTTCTTCTTCTTCTTCTTCTTCTGCTTCTTCTTCTTCTTCCTCTTCTTCTCTTTCTTCTTCATCTTCTTCTGCATGGTTGCTCTTTTCCTTGAACTTATGTACTATAAGAGTTTGATCCTATCTAATATGTTCCTATTTTTCTTTTTTTCTTTTTCTTTTTTCTTTTTTCAAAGAAAAACGTGAACGTTTCCTCGTGAGAACTTTTTCTTTTTCTTTTCTTCTGTTTTTTTTGTGAAAAGATCACGTTGAGAGTGATCCGAAAATGCACTTCTTCTTGGAATTTATTATCTATTTCGATGTTACGTTTTAAAGAGTATGTATTAAAATGAGGTTATGAATTAATGGACATACTTTAGTTAGTCGTTTACTTCGATTTTTTTTTTTTATATTTACTTGTAATTTTATCAGCTTGATAGTCGTTGCAGTTGGTATAGAAAATGTGTCTGGGTATTGAATCTTTTCGTATTTTGAGTTCAGTGCTGGAAAAATGAGATTATAAATTTAAGTATGATCCATTGCAATTTTTTTTTTATTATATATACCAATTAAATGTATATGATTTTAATAATTTATATGATTTTAATAATTCGAATAGTTCTGTTAAGAAGAATTTGAAATTAGGAAATGGGAAACGAAATATTTGGAAAAAAAAATTGCATGATCCTCGAAGAATTGAGGAACAGATCTTTTAACCTTCTTACTTGATAATAATAATAATAATAATAATAATAATAATAATAATAATAATAATAATAATAATAATAATAATAATAATAAAGTATAAAAAATATACATAATAATAAATAATATAATATGATAATATTATATAAATATTATATGAGATGATCACTTACCAAATCGATTAATTCTATAAAATAAAAAAGAAATGGAGTAATGCGATATAATATAATATAAATTTATAATATAAATCATTTTTTAAAATTCTCATTAAAGTATAAATTCAAATAAACATTGTAGAATGTATAAAGGCCTTGCTGCTACGTTTGAATTGCATTATTGCAACGATTTACATTAGAGTGCTGAGTTAAATCAGATTGATTTTTAAAATAAATTATTTTTTACGCGAAGTCCAACAAAATTTCGTCATTTAATAATATTAAATAACAGAAATTACGGAAATTCATTGAGAATATAAAAATCATCAAGTACTTCGACACTTAAATTTAAAAAAAATTCAAAAAGTGGAGTTAATTGAACTGGCCTGTGAACTTGGCTTATAAAATAATAATAATAATAATAATAATAATAATAATAATAACAATAATGATAATAATAACAATAATAATAATAATAATAATAATAATAATAATAATAATAATAATAATAATAAGAACAATAATAATAACGATGGCGATGTTAATATTGTATTTAATAAACAATTGGTTTATTGAAAGGATATCATCGTCGGCTGAAATTCAAAGGGTTCGAGTCATTTGTTGGCCAGATGGAAGCCACGACTGAGACGTCGAAATAATCTCGACGTAATCTACTTCCCGAATCGCGATGGCAACCCCTCTTAAACGGTGCCCCTGGTTTCTGACGCGCGCCTTTAGGAGGGCCGCTGGACATCGACTTCGGTCGAGTAGTATGTTAATGAGGACAGGACCGTGTTCGGGTCTGGCGGTCCTCAATGAACCTGCACCGAGACGCACGAGATAAAAATAAACTGAACATTTCACGTCCTTCTCTCAGCGACACAACACAACACAATCCGTACCTTCTTGCGATAACCTTAAAATGCAATAGTTTATTATTTTTTGTCCTATATGTTTTATTTATTTATTTCTTTTTTTGTCTTTTCGCGAGTTCACCTTCCTTCCACATACTTGAAAATATATTATATATATTATATATATTATATATATATATATATATATATATATCATATATATAATATATATATATATTATGTGTATATATATATATATATATATATATATATATATATATATATGGATGATGATTAGTTGTTTGTATTATCGTGTTCTTCTTAATTGACCAATTATTTTGAGATATAACTTGTCGAGTGACACTCGATATTGAATTTTTGAGATAACTTCGTCGATCCTCAATCTATCATCGTATTTTACTCATTCGACTAAGTATTATATAGAATCATCGTATTATGATACGCGTTCGATGAATACTATTTCATATCATACGATGACAAAGTATCATTACGACATGTTTTGATAACATTGGTAACATGTTATTTGAAATGATATTGATCTGCTATATCAAATTGCAATGATGAGTCATAACAAAAGTAGGACGATAAAAAAAGATCTTCTTTTCTTTTCTTTTTTGTTTCTCAAAAAATCAATTCAAAATATAATTCGAACGAAAATTCATATCCTTTAATAGGTCCCATCAAAAAAAATTGTATTGTTTCAGAACGTTCGGTGCTAAGTGTGCAAAATGTGGGCGAAGTGTGGGCGCAGGTGATTGGGTTAGGAGAGCCCGTGAAAGGGTTTATCATTTGGCCTGTTTTGCCTGTGACGCTTGTTCACGTCAATTATCGACTGGTGAACAATTTGCCCTGTTGGACGCACGATTATTATGTAAGGCACATTATCTTGATGTAGTAGAGGGAAACAATACTTCTTCCTCCGAAGATTGTGACTCCGAACACGGTGGCAAGGGTAGTAAAACAAAGAGAGTAAGAACTACGTTCACCGAGGAACAACTCTCCGTATTGCAGGCGAATTTTCAATTGGATAGTAATCCCGATGGTCAGGATCTCGAAAGGATAGCACATGTAACTGGATTAAGTAAGAGGGTCACACAAGTATGGTTTCAAAATTCAAGGGCAAGGCAGAAGAAGCACAGTGGCAAAATCAAAACGCAAAGTGAGTTTATCGTACGATTTAATTTTATTTAACTTATTAACTACAAGAGTATTTTATAATCATTAATACCCAACAAAATGTTGCGATAATATTTGAATTTCATAACTTGGATTTATTAAAAATTTGACTTTTCTCAAGAACAAAGTAGTCTTTGAAAAAGAAATTTCTATTCCGGATTTTCGATTTATTTCCAACAATGGCACGATATGATTTGGTTTTCACAATTTGGATTTATCCAAAATTTAACTTTTCTCGAGAACAAAACTATCTATAAAAAAAATTCTATTCCATACTTTCATTTTATTTTTGATTGTCAAAAATGCTAAGATACTATTTGGACTTTAGACTTTGGATTTATCAAAAATTTAAATTTTCTTGATAACAAAGCCGCTTATGAAAAAGAAATTTCTATTTCGCACTTTCGACTTACTTACTTACTTTAAAAAAACTTATTTTTAACTCCAGTAAAAAGATGTAATCATTCGAAATAATTTCTTATTTTGGCCCTATTTTTTTTTATATATTTTATAGTGCATCATTCACCACCAATGCAACATCACCCGACGGAAATGTATCCCAGTAGTGTGAACGTGGTCGGAGCATACCTAGGTGGTTATCAAGGTGGCAGTGCCGGAAGTGAAAGTCCCGGAAGTCCATTAACCCCACTGACACCAATGACACCCTTAACGCCAACTACCCCGACTCATCACCAACCACAATTTTGTCATCAAACGGGATAAAAATCTGCTCGATATTCGCCGATCTTTTTTTGTATGTACATAGAAAAAAGAAACAAAAAAAAACAGAAAAAGAAGGAAAGAAAATAAAAAGAGAGAGAGAGAGAAAAAGAAGATGAAAAGATGAGATTAAATAAAAACAAACAAATAAGCAAACAAAAAATGATTGGTCGTAGAAAATGATCGATCAGTAGTTTAGTAACATAAACGAGCTTTTAATTTTTATTTATTCGACGTCAGCGATTTAAATCGGTGCAAATTTCTAACGAAAAAATAAAAAAGAAGAAAACAAAAAGAAAGAAAAGAAATTGGACTTCCTGTTATCCTTCATTAATATTAAAAAGAAAAGAAAAATATAAAAGTAAAAGAAAAACGCGGAAAATATACGATTATTAATTAAATCGAATTTTCAGATAAATGATACGTAAATATAAGTACATGTAAATTTGCTTTCATATTTTTTATATCTGTCGCTATCGAAAAGACTTGAAGGATGAAAGGATTGTAAATAAATAAATTCTCCGTTCCCTCTTTCTTACCCGGCCTATCCCTCTCCCTCCTTCTTCCATCGCCCCCTTTGAACTTTTTTGTACATAAAAAAATTTTTAGAAATAATGTGCGATCATTATACGTACGATAACGTTCTTGCACATTCATTACTGCAATACTGTAAGCCTACTGTTAATAATAAAAAATGTCTTTTGCTGTTATAAATATATGTCATTTACATATATCCCTCGTTTACCTTTACTTAATAATAATTTTAAATAATAATAATAACAGTAATAATTACTAAATATTTAATTAATGATGATTACTGAATAATAATGTTTTCAATCTCAATATCGATGAACATAGTAATCGATTGAAATAAAAATTTTAAAGTTTAAAATTTACAAAGTAGTGAATTAATCTTTAAAGTATTAATGTAATTTAAAAAATAAAAAATATTAAAAATAAAAAGAAATAATTTTTTCAAAGGATTTCAGGATCGTAGGAATAAGTGTGTTTATATACATATACATATATATATAATATATATATGTGTGTGTATGTGTATGCATGTATACTCAATCATATATTTTATAATAGAGCTTAGTTTACAATATTTACATCACAGTACATTCATATTAAATAAAATCGTTACATCGCGTTGTTTTCTTTTATTTTCTTTTTTTTTCTTTTCTCTTTTCTCTACGTACTGCGAAAGATAATTCCGTTCGTGAACATTGCTTCTTGATGTCATTCGAAAATACGTCAAGGATACGTAAAACTTATTCGGATTTGTTTTTTTTTTTTTAATCGATGTAATTCTACATTTTTCGATCCTTTGCGACTTTTAGAATATTACCATCGATAATTTATATCGACAGGATTCTATTGTTTGATTAGAGGAAGATTCGATTTTCTTGATGATTTATAAATCTACTTGGCGGTAATCATGTGATGATCATCGATGATCCATATAATAAGAATCGATCAGAATAAATTAAGAAATCTATATATATTCGATCATCCGATCATTGAAATCGATCAGAAAAATATAGTAAACCTGATAATGAAAATCGATCAAAGAATATCCCGAGATCTATGGAAGATGAAGGATTTATAAATTTTAGGATTTTCTCTGTGCGATATTTATCATCAAATCATCGATATCAATGATCATATCGATATATAGACGATACATAGATATCGAGATTTTTTTTTCTGATCGATTTTAATCCTACTTTACTTATCTTCTAAATGAAGAATGATTCGTCGATCATCATCGTACTGAACGATAAACGATCTATTGATAGATCCTTAGATTTTTTTCTGATCGATTTGGAGTAAATTTTTCTTTTCTTTTTTTTTTCTTCCCTAAAAAATCATTCGACGAGACGTTACAAGCTTTTTTTTTCGAGTTCGAAGATCCGTGTTGTTTTTATTATTATTATTTTTTCTTTTTTTTTCTATTTCTTTCATGGTCTTCGACATTGACAGGTTCTATATTGATTTTGGTGAGAATAGGATCATCGAATAGAATCATGACGTTTCATCGATCCTTTCAAAACTTCTTGACAAAGCTAAAAATTGACTGCATGGCAATAATAGCCTAATATCGTACGTAATTTAATAGCTTATTTAATGTTTCCTTCAAATGCATTCCACTTATGCTAAAAACAAGTAGGTTTTTTTTCTTTCTAAATTATCTAAAAAGAGATAGAGAAATAGAGAGAGAGAGAGAAAGAGAGAGAGAGAGAGAATGAGAGAGAGAGAGAGAGAGAAAGAGAAAGAGAGAGATAGAGAAATAGAGAAAGAGAGAGGGAGGGAAGAGAGAGAGGAGAGAGGGGTATAATGATAAAAGGAGAAAGAGAGAGAGGAGAGAGGGGTATAATGATAAAAGGAGAAAGAGAGAGAGAAAAAGAAAGAGAGAGAGAGAGAATGAGAAAATGAGAGAAAAAGAGAGAGAGAGAGAGAGAGAGAGAGAAAGAGGATGGAAAGTGTACCTTAGATTCGTGACGAGTTCTAAGATAAATTAAAATATAACGCGCCGTTGGAAGGCCCATCCGGAAATAGCGCTAAAACTGAAGCTAACGTTTCTTCGGATGATAAGAAGTAGATAAAAAGAGTATTTACAAATACGTAATCGATCCAACGGCGCTAATTATACTTCGTTCGGCATCGACAACATCATGGAGTCCTGTGAGAGTTCATCCATTGACTGTTCCGAACCTAAAGAACATGTAGAGATTTTAAAAGATTAGGCTATTTCAATTTTAAACATAGCGCTTGGATACCGTTATTAGAAAAAAGGAATAAGAAAAATCGCTTGAATCATTTTTTTTTCTTTTATCTTTTTTTTAATTTTTTTTTTTATCTGATTTAAATGGCATAAAAAAGAAAATCTTGTAAATGTCTAGTGTAATCTTGTAAATTGTCTAGAATCTTATAAATTTTTTTTTCTTTTCTTTTTATTTGAATTTGTATGTATTTTTTTTTTTTTTGAATTCTTATCATTTATTTTATACTTCGCTTGATTCGTTATTATTTTGGTTTTCTTTTTTTTTTTTTTAAGAACAAATAAAAATAATTTAAAAATTCGAAGCCATACCGTGATTATGATAGATCGAAGGCGTGGGACTTTTACAGACGGCTGGACTGAGTTGCACCGGTTGCTGACTATGCTGATGTTGCTGATGTTGAAAGGAATAAGTCAGGTGTAAATTGATGTGTCGACCAAAGTCGGCCGGTGATGTTGTTGAATTTGGCGGGGATTGGTGTACTGTAATCGTCAATGAGACGAATTAAATTTATTAAAAAATTTTATTTATATTAAATAATATTTATAAAAAAAAATTAGATTTATTAAAAGAAATGATTAACAAAATTTATAAAAATTTGCTTATTTATTTATTTATTTATTTATTTATAAACAATGGTGAATGGATTTAGAAAACATGATTTAAAAACTATTCTTCTAGTCGTGTAAAAGAAATAAAACAAAACAAAAAAAAAGAAAGAAAAAAAAACAAAGAAGAGAAAAATCGTAAAAAAATTCCTAAGAAATGCAACAAAATAGAGGAACAGCATACCATGCTGGCCTTTCATTTTTCCCGTATGAAGATGCTTCTTTTGTCTCGCTCTAGAATTTTGAAACCATACTTGTGTCACCCTCTTGCTCAATCCTGTCACGTGTGCTATCCTTTCTAAATCCTGACCATCAGGATTGCTGTCCAATTGGAAGTTAGCTTGGAGAACAGAAAGTTGTTCCTCGGTGAACGTTGTCCTTACCCTCTTTGCTTTGTTACCACCCTTGTGACCGCTCTCGGAGTCACCGCCTTCTGCGAAAGTACCAATTAGTTTTGCTCCCATGGTTTTATACTTAATCGTGATCATCGGAGGGTTTTACTGCAAAATTTTTATTTGTATAATTTTTGAATCTGTTCGATGCAATGATGAATAAAATAATAATTTTTAATAATTTTTATATGTGTGAAGAGAACAGTAATATCCAAATAAACATCACTATTATTACGTATATATATGTGTGTGTATATGTGTACAAATAATTGTACACTATTGAGTTGTTTATTAAACAGCTAAGTTTTACTATGTATAATATGTATGTATACCCATATATATATATATATATATGTATATAATATTTCCATGTATAAATTAATTTTAATATATATATATATATATATATATATATATATAATATTTTTATATATAAATTAATTTTAATATATATATATATATATATATATATATCTGTGCATTAATTATAATCAATATATTAATTTTATAGATAATATAAATTAATATTAGATTGTGTTGTTTATTTCGATATAAAATATTGAAATGATCTATCAAATCAAATATTTTAACATCAGAGTACCGATTATCGCTTATCCCATTACAAATAACAGCATATTTTATTGTATTATTAAACAAACATGTCAGCAATTATGAAAATGACATAATTCTAATTAAAAATCTATTTAAATTAATATATATATATACACATATATATCATCTATGTCTTTTATTACATTGATTTACATATCCAATATGAATTAAATCATCTTCATAGTCACTGACTGAAATGAAAGATTTATTAATATTATTAATCATTTGATTTATCATCTGAATGACAACATTTGATTAAGAGAAATCATTTTTTGATTGAAATAGTTTTCTGTGTTTATACCGTAAAAATTGATTTACTATAATTTCTGGGCATCCTCACCATCGGATGAAGTATTGTTGCCTTCGATGACATCCAAATAGTGAGCTTTGCAGAGTAATCGTGCATCTAAGAGAGCGAATTGCTCCCCTGTCGACAATTGACGTGAACAGGCGTCGCAGGCGAAACAGGCTAAATGATAAACCCGTTCTCGGGCTCTTCTAACCCAATCACCTGCGCCTACGCTTCGTCCGCATTTCGCGCATTTAGCACCGAATGTTCTGAAAAATACAATATTTTATTGACGAACAACATGTTGAATTAATTGATTGAATTAATCAAGATTTGTGTTTTTTTTTGTTTTGTTTTATTTCTTTTTTTCATTTTAGTATTTGACATAATTGTTTATTGAATTATTCGACTAATACAATTTTCGTTCTTTTTTTTCTTTCTTTTTTTTTTGTTTATTTAATAAAATTTTTATTATTTTAAATAGTTCAATATACGCGAACAAATATATAAAATAAACAACAATTTCGATGACAATTGTTTATGTATTTTATGTAATTTATATATATATATATATATATATATATATATATATACTTTATATATATAAATTACATAAAATACATAAACATATATATGTAAAGTATATATATATAAATTTAAATATGTATGTATATACATATATACATATAAATTAATAAGAGATTAAATTAAGTTATTATATAAATAATGAAAATAAAGTACTAATTGATATATAAAAATTGAAAAAAATTATAAAAAATTGCAGCAATTCAAATCTGAATGCGTGTGTCTCATATATCATTATATTATTTATGTTTATTTTTACATATAATACAATAATATTTTTAGTTATTCGTAAATTCATATAATAGAGAATATCCGGCATTGATAAATTACGCGAACTCGCAGCTGCATAGACGGATTAAAAGCAAAAAAAAAATGTTTAGTAGAGTCGCGTGCTTAGTGGAATGCATTCATTGCAATTTATTAGGGATCGTCTCGTACGAATATTTTACATGCAAGACTTTCTTTCTGTGAATTTAACTCCATTATCGATGCACATACGTTCTAATCAATTTCGTGATTTACAATTTAAAATTACAGAGATGAAAATATATGTACATATATATTAAGAATGATATATATATACATAAATAATAATAATAAGATAAATATAAATAATAATAATAAGATAAATATAAATAATAATAAAATATATATATATATATGTATATATATATATATTTGCATTTTATTGCACTTTAAATGTTGAAAAGCATTTTTTCGAAAACTTGATTTAAATAAAAACATCAATGGCATTATTGTAAAGAAAATTAAAAGAATTTTCAAATGATACGTCTCTTGACCATTATTGCCATTTAACATTTTTGATTTTTGATTTTTGATTGAACATTTTTGATTTTGTCATCCTTCTTTGGAGGTTAGTCTAAACTGGATGACTTTATGATAAGGATTTGTTCTTGGAAACAAAATTGATCTGACGTTTTTCGAAAATATCATTAAATTTCATAATAATCCGGATGAACACTCGTTTTCGTTAGGACACTTTATATATATTTTGATATAATATTTTTTTATTAATATAATTTTTATAAGTTAAAATGTATCAATTTTAACAACATACTTTTATTATTTATTTCTATAAAAATATTTAAAAAATTCGTGATTGTGATTGTAACAATATATTATATAAAATTGCAAATATAAAAATTTGAAAATGGTTTCATAAATAATAACTCTTAAAAGACTTTTAAATTTAATGATCTGTATCTTAATATTCTGTATCTTCTGAATGGTATATATAATATAATATAATAATAAAATAATAATATAATGTTCTTATTTTAAAATTGTAATGTTGTTAATTTTAATTATATATATTTTATTATATATTTTAATTATATATATTTATTATATATATATAATTTTCTTTTGTAATATATTCTTTCTGAACGTATAAAAGAAAAAGAAAAAAAAGAAAAAATTCCAGTAAGAGTTTATATATTATTTCAAAATTATAAATATAAAAATGAATAAATAAAGTTATAACAACAGTGGAACAATAATAGAACAGTTAACGAATCTTATATCTAACAACGAACACGTTAGATGTACCTAATAAATACAGATTTTAATTAGTTTCGTAGTAAAATATTCATTCAAAATATAATTTATTATAAACTCACAATAAACTCATTAATAATAATAATAATAATAATAATAATAATAATAATAATAATAATAATAATAATAATAATAATAATAATAATAATAATAATAATAATAACAATAATAATAATAATAATAATAATAATAATAATAACAACAACAATAATAATAATATTAATATTAATAACAAAAAAACAAAAAAAAAGAAAAAGGAAACGAAAATTAAATATTCAATGATTCTAAGAAGAAGATATCATCGATCTTCACAAATTCCAAAATTCAATGGAGAACCATAAAATGATCGTAGTTAAATCACGAACTTTGAGCTCGTTTAATCCGCATATAATTAATAAGTTTCCTGTGAACGATATCGAATTTTGTAATGAGTTTTTTCGTTCCTCTTTTTTCTCTTTTTCTTTCTTTTCGTTTCTTTTTCTCCTTTTTTCCTTTCTTTTTTCTCCCTTTTTAAATCCATAGGTCAATAATATCCCTCGAGGCGTTGAATTTAATTTGATACCTTTCGCGTTTGTTAGGAGGCATTTTTTATTAGTCTAGAGAAGAAGAGTAAAGAACCTGGAACATTGGAGAGAAATGAATCGGCTGGTAAAAGAAAAGTCTTAGCGATGTCTCGCATTAATTACCGATATAATCGCAAAGTAGAAAGCGTAAGACATTGGGAAGAGTTGGCGAGAGAGGGTAGATGAGGGAAGAGAGAGGGTGGAGGAGAAAGGCGGGAGGAATCGTAAGAGGGTGTATTGCCGTGAAATGAAAGCGGCTCGTAATCTCCGGCTTCTTTGCAGACATGCACGCATAATCACACGCGCACACACGCATGTATGCGTTCACAAAGAAGGAGGAGAAGAAGAAGGAAAAAAAAAGAAAAAAGTTGAAAAACAAAAAGGACAAAAGAGAAAATAAAAAAATGGTCGAGGCTGAAACGATTTCACATAGGTTCCTTTTGGTTCTCCAAGTTCCAACTCTTACGATTAGATAAGACCTCCGTTTAGTTGGGTAGAAGGAATAGACCAGAGATACTACTTCTTATAAGAAATAAAATAAAGTCTTATGGCGACTTGAGAGAGCGGGGGAGAGAAAGAGAGACAGAGAGAAAGAAAGAGAGAGAGAGAAATCTTTTTAAAAAGACCTGAACAGTCTTCTACTCGAAGTAAGTAGCCAACCAATGTGCCGCGTGTTTCACGGTCATTTATTATCTCCTTTAGGACGTGAAAAGCGAGCTGAGATCGTTCCTCTTTCGGTATGCTTCATGTATGCAACATATTATTTCGAATATTCATATTCGCGATTTATTCGTTTGTGGTAACACACTTGTATAATTTGATGGAAGATCGGTAATAATTAATTCTAATTTTTAAACTTTTGCTGCATTTTTTTTTTCATTCTTTCTTTCTTTCTTTTTCTACTTTTTTTTCTTCTTCTTCTATTTTTTTCTCCGACGATCATTATTTATACACGATAAGAATAAAAGTAATTAAATTAATTAATTGTATACGTCCGGATTATAATATTCGAAAGAGTGTAAAATTTTATAATTTTTTTTTTTTTTAATCATTTGATTTATTAACCATCGATTTTTATTAACAATTGCATTAGTAATAAATGATTATGTCCCTATCGACTTTATTTCTTTTTTTTTAATTTCTTCTACAATTTTTTTTCTTTTTTTTTTTTAAATTAACAGTATTAATTTTTTGCGATTTTTATGGATGATTGATTTTCGAAAATGTCTAGAAAAAATTGAGGTCACTCATCAATCAGGATCAACGAAGGATCTTACAATTATTTTCTAAAATTTCTGTAATTTTAATAATAAAATAATTAATAATTTAATAAATAATTATTTAACAAATAATTAATTATTTTATCAGTGATTTAAAGAGACATAAAAAACAAAGAACAAAGTATTAAATACATTACAATAATTCTCAAAACATTTTTTAAAATTTTCATAAAAGAGATTATAAATTTTAACAATTTATAAATTGTAAACAAAAAAGATTATAAATATGTAACAACTTTAATTAAATTGAAACCCATTTAACAAAAACAAATAATTAATGAAATAAATGTTTCCACATAAATTCTCAAATTCATCATTACTTGCAATTTTTATAAACGATTAATATGCGAACATGCATATTAAAGTTCACAAATTATATTTGTATCTACGTGTATCAACTTTCCAAAAAAGAAAAGAGAGAAAAACAAAGCAAAAAAATACATTTTATATCAACTTAATATTGGTACCGAAGTTAAAAAAAATCGAAGAAATAAATTACTTCGTCGTGAATTCGGGGCATTTCTTTCTTGGAATAGAGAAAAATAGATTAAAAAAAAACAAAAAAGAAAAAAAAAAGAAAATAAAAAGGAAGTTTAAAAGAAGGAATAAGAAAAATAAATGAGGGAAAAAAAAGAATAAAAAGAGAAAAAGAAAACAAAAAAAAAAGGTAACAAAAGAAAAAAGGGAAAAATATAAAAAAAAAAGGAACGAATAAAGAAAGAGAGAAAAACGAAAGAAGCAAAAGTAAAGAACAAAAATTTCTCTCGGAGGAAGAGAGCGCGAGAAAGAAAGATAAATCACGAAGAAAAAACGGGAAGAAAAAACGAAAAACGAATAGAAAGAAAAAGAAAACAAAATAAAGAAAAAAAGATACAGGCCCGAGAAGATGGTAGGTTTAGTCCCGATGTAAACGGTAGCCATGTACCGGCAGCGACACGAGCATGCTACAAGACACACGCACGTATAGCTAGATGAATGGCACTGGAGAATCTTTCTTCTACTCTCTCTCTCTCTCTCTCTCTCTCTCTCTCTCTCTCTCTCTCTTTATCTCTCTTTCTCTTATTCTTTCTCTCACTCTTTCTTTCTCTGTATTTGTCTCTTTCTGTCTTCCCCCACTCCACCTTTCTTAACTCGATGTGTGTGCTTCGAGCGGTAATTAAACAACGACTAGCCGGCCATTAGCCCATTATCATATTCATGAACACGGAAAGTGCATCCCGATTCCTCGTCCGGTTTCATTGGACTACTACCAACGTTCTAAGC